GAGAAGGTCCGCCTTCTCCCCCATCCATTTGGTGAATAAAGCCCCTGAAGAACTGGGAGCACACGGGAGTGACGTGGGGAAGCCTCGGAGGAGGTTTCTCTGTGTTAACTCTCCATGTTCTGGAGACTCAGGGTAAAATGTCTTCCTTGTTGTCATGTGTGTTATTACAGGTTCCAGGGTTATGGAGATTAAATATTACCTAACATTCTAGTCTCCTGATGGAGACCACGGGTATGCAGAGCTGGTGAGGTAAAGGCTGAGGCTGGAGCAGAGTGGGGGCTGGTTGAGCCACACACATGGACATGGGGGCTGGTTGAGTCATGCACATGGACATTACAAATAATCAATTTACTCTCTCTCTCTCTCTATCAAAGGGTGTGTCGTCCTTTAAGGTAATATGGGACAAAATCAAATTACCTATCAGTATTCACAAGTGGGAGGGGCAGAACCTTATTATATTCAGGCACTTTTCCTTCCTTTGCAAGCGCCTCAGTTGGTGTGGCCATGGCCAAGTTGGTGTTGCCTCACTGGTGGCCAATATACCACTCATGCTAGCCCTTGTTGGGGGACAGTTATGTCACTCTGAATTTGAACCTTTGTGTGTGAAAACAGATGTTTAACTCTCTCTATGTTGTGTTGCAATGCCAGGAGACTTCTTTCTTTTTTTTTGTTGGGAATGTGTGACATACACAGAAAGATGTGGTCACATTTTTCGTATTGATGCTTTAACCATCTGATGTAATGTATTCCTGCGTGAAAAAAAAAATTAATGGATTCCAGGCTAAAAGGAAAAGAAAAAAAACTTAAATAGAGTCTTTTAGGACATTGTTATTATTAGTCTTTGTAAACTGTTCTGTAAAGGTAATGCACCTTAATGCCAATAGAGAGCAGTATGATACTTGGCAGCTGACCGGGACAGTGTTTGGTGCGGACGATGGCGCGGCCGTTAGCTTTTCCTCATTCTGCAACGAGGAGCTGACGCAGCAACACCATACTGATGTCCTGTCAGGTCATTTGACTGTTTTAACAGAATCACCTGTTGCATGGTCACATACCTGGGACCTGTAACAGAAGCAGTAGCTTGGAATAGCATTAGCAGTAGCTTGGAATAGCATTAGCAGTAGCTTGGGATAGCGTTAGCAGTAGCTTGGAATAGCGTTAGCAGTAGCTTGGGATAGTGTTAGCAGTAGCTTGTGATAGCGTTAGCAGTAACTTGGGATAGCATTAGCAGTAGCTTGGGATAGCGTTAGCAGTAGCTCTGGATACCATTAGCAGTAGCTTGGAGTAGCGTTAGCAGTAGCTTGGGATAGCGTTAGCAGAAGCTTGGGATAGCGTTAGCAGTAGCTCTGGATAGCATTAGTAGGAGCTTAGGATAGCATTAGCAATAGCCCTGGATATCATTAGCAGTAGCATGGGATAGTGTTAGCAGTAGCTCTGGATAGCATTAGCAGTAGCTTGGGATAGTGTTAGCAGTAGCTCTGCATAGCATTAGCAGTAGCTTGGGATTGCATTAGCGATAGCCCTGGATAGCATTAGCAGTAGCTTGGGATTGCATTAGCAGTAGCACAGGTAGTGTTCTGTGGTTAAATGATAAATGACCCACATTTGTATGGTCAGAGGACTCCAAGCGCTTTACACTACAGTGTATCATTCATCCATTCACACACACATTCACACCCTGGTGAAGATGAGCTATGATGTAGCCACAGCTGTCCTGGGGCACGCTAACAGAGGCGAGGCTGCCGAGCACAGGCGCCCCTGGTCTCTCTGACCACCACCAGGCAAGGTGGGTTGAGTGTCTTACCCAAGGACAAAACAGCATAATTCTATGTCCAGAGCCAGGATCGAACCTGCAACCTTTCGATTACTGGACAACCTGCTCTACCTGTTGAGCTGCTGTCCTTGCTGCTGGTTGGCATTACCACGACCGCAGCAGACGTAGGAGTGGGTTGGGGTATGTGTCTACGTCAATGATGTGTTAAACCAGCCTTTCTCAGAACAAAACATTTCTTCGTCGCTATCACTACATAACTGATTTGCATAGGAAAGCAGGTGGGAAATTGCACAGACATTTTGGTACATTAGACAACAAGGTAAATGTGGTTTCAAATTCTAGGACGTGACTAATGTGACTTGAGCTGTGCGTGTCTGCAGAATGAAGAAAAAGCCCAAATTACCAAATTACTTTAGATGAACCACATGGTTTCAGATGCTTCGTGAATTCTCATCCCATGCAGACATGCTGACACGACAGATAAGAAGGGACAATAAAACAAACTTTTCCATAGAGTGGGAAGACTCGATGCGTTTCCTGTAATTTTGTGCTTTAACATAATTCAAATGTAAATGTGCGCCGCAAGTGTAAACTCCCACTCACGAGTGTCTCATATATTGCTGCAGCCTCACACTTTTACTGATTTTAAGATGAAATACTAGCATGCCTGCATATTATTTCCTGTGTGATGAGCAAGAAAGACAAATGAGGCGTTAAGAAGAGATGCATGTAGAGTGGAAAAACCACACAAACCAAAACCACGGATCAGAAGTTGCTTTTAGACCTGAATAGAAACGCTGACATGCACTTAGCACAGCACAGATGTGTGGAAAGGATCGTGCCCTTTTCCTATCAAACATCACATTTAACACAGACATTAATACTCCAGACTCTCATTTAAACTTGAGGTGGAAAGGGGAGCTGGATCAGATCTAGTTAGCTTATAATACCTGACAGGGGTTACTGCTTAGTTTATATATATGGAGATATATATATATATATATATATATATATATATATATATATATATATATATATATATATATATATATATGTATATATATATATATATATATATATATATATATATATATATATATATATATATATATATATATATATATATACATATACATATACATATATCAGCCAAAATTAGTTTCCTCCGTAGGGTGGCCAGGCTCGGCCTAATGGGCTCGACACACGGGAGGCGACAAACGACCGCGATCAGCGAAATTTGTCGCCGTCGCTTTTATTACCTGACACACGGGAGGCGATCCGCGGAAGCGGCCAGCGGCAAAGCCGTCTACGCGTTCTGTTCCATGGCAAAATCGAAATTTCCGTTGTTTTGTTTGGCTGTGTCAGGTTGGAGGGAATTAAGGTTATTTAAGCGGTTCAGAGTTAAAAAAGTGGTAGTTATGATGTTTCACAAGGTGCTGCTAGAGTTATGTGAAATCTTACTTCTGATTTTACTATATAAAACATAATAATAATCAACTTCTCCTTCATGTTTGCTCGGAGATGTACGGAGCATCCTGTCCGCTCATTGGTCAGTGAATGAAACCTCCGTTGATCGGTCCTCGTCCGAGCGACAGCGATGAAAAGTTGAAAATGTTTCAACTTTCTGGGATCGCGTCGCTGGGTTGCCTGTGCACGACACGTGCACGAGCACAAAATTTCACACGCACGTTTTTCGCGTTTTGCTTGGTAAGTAAGTAAGTAAGTAAAAGTTTATTTATATAGCGCCTTTCACAGATATAAATCACAAAGCGCTGTACAACATGATAAAGATCAGGGCAAATACCTCTAACCAATAAAAACATCAGAAAAACAATAGCAGTGATAAAATAGAAAATAAAATCATGAGTATAAACAAAGTGAAGGTGTGAACCCGAACAAAGCCATCCATTTGAACATTTAGGGAGGGAACGCCTGGATGAAAAGGTGAGTTTTTAGATGATTTTTAAAGACCTCTACAGTGTTAGAGAGACGGAGATTTGAAGGCAGACTGTTCCAAAGCCGGGGGGCAATAGTCTGAAAGGCCCTGTCCCCTTTGGTTTTCAGTCTGGTTCGAGGAACAGCCAGGAGGCTTTTTTTTGGTAGGAGGGAGACCCGCGATTATCGCTTTGTCGCGCATGTCTCATTGAAAATGAATGGAGGAGAGGCAATGTCGCCTCCCGTGTGTCGAGCCCATTAGAGATAGGGTGAGGAGCTCGGACATTCGGGAGGGACTCGGAGTAGAACCGCTGCTCCGCCGGATCGAAAGGAGTCAGTTGAGGTGGTTTGGACATCTGGTCAGGATGCCTCCTGGACGCCTCCCTGGGCAGGTGTTTCGGGCATGTCCTGCCGGCAGGAGGCCCCCGGGTCGACCCAGGACACGTTGGAGAGGTTACATCTCCAATCTGGTCCGGGAACGCCTTGGGGTCCTGCCGGAGGAGCTGGTGGAGGTGGCCGGGGAGAGGACGGTCTGGAGCTCCCTAGTTGGGATGCTGCCCCCGCGATCCGGAGACGACGACGAGATCCACCTGTGGGCCACTTTCCTGATCTATTCTGTAGTCTGGGTCTCAGGGTCCTAGATATGGGTTGGAATGATCTCAGGACTTTGATGGTCTCTTTACCGTTCATAGACATCACGATCATCTGCAGCATTCAGCTTCCTTAATTCCATTTGACCACATTTATCCAGTCTGAACGATATTCCAGCGTCCTTGCTGTGAGGGGGGTCAGTGACTCGCTCACTTTTTGACAGCTTGATGTGATTCATGTGGAGGAATTGACTTTGGATCCGGTGCCTCTTAATGATCTATTTTTATTACTGCATACTGTATTTATATTTTAAACCCAATATTTATTGTTCTAGTAAATTATTTGCCTTAATGAAATCAAACTTTGCCCAAATCTGTTTTGAAATGTAATTTTAAATGTAATTATGAAGGCCATGCATTTAAACTAAATAAATTAAATGTGCAAATAGATGCAGACCATGACTAAAACATATATTCATGCTTCAAATGAAGTAAAAACATTTCGCTAAGAATTTTGAACTCTGCATGACTAAAAGGCCTTGCAAACACGATTAAAGCAGAAAATCTATTTTCCGTGGAAACTCTTTAATGGTTTGGCTGCTTCCGAGTCCGTTTACTAGAATAAAATAACTCTTTGTATATCTGGTTCATTTATTCATGTAGAACCCTCTGCAGGTGTGTGTGTGGAGGTGGGATTCTACCTCTCAGACGTTGGATCCTTGCAGTTGAGCGGATACTTGAGCTCGATGACATGGCCGTTCCTCTCACGCAGGAGATCCTGTTGTTCGGTGTAATACTGCACCAGCTCGGCTAGCGTGGCGAACTTCTCACCTCCGTACAGGTCATAGTAGTCTCCAGAGTTCTGGATCTTAATGTGGGTCACCTCATTGTTACGCCTGAATGGAAAAGAATATGAAATGTGTTTTTTAAATCACATTTGCAGCAATCGGTTGCTAGAAGATGCGTTTCTCGGTGAAGAAGCATTTCTGTTTGGTATGGTTGCCCTGTGGAAATCTAAGCACTGACTGAACACACACAAGCAGCCACCCACACTCAGGCCTGTACAGTGTATGCTCACACAAAGAAAATCAAGAGTTCGCCCACACACTGTGTATGAAAGCCTATACACCACTAACATGTCCAACTATCAAGCCATCTGGTCTCATTTTAAGAGTGTATGCTATTTTTTTATTGTACAACAGCCTAACCCTTTCCATCATCGACATATAGCCTTAAAATTACTTTTGTAATTGCTGCAACATTTTATTTTTTGCAAAACTGTTGAAAATCAGTGTAAATAAAAACAGAAATTTTTTCTTTTTGAAAAAGTGCAAATTAGCATCAAACGCAGTCAAACTCCAGTCCTCGAGGGCTGCTATCCCACGTTTTAGTCATTTCCCTGTTCCAACACACCAGATTCAATCAGCTGGTGATTAACAGGCTTCTGAAGAGCCCGATGAGCTGCTACACAAGTGAATGAGCCGTGTTGGAGCAGGGAAACAACAAAAAGATTCAGGATACCGGCCCTCGAGGACCGAAGTTCGACACCCTAAATGTTAAAAAGTTTGTTCTGATGAATGTCAGAAGAAACATTTAGTCTCTTTCGTTTTCTGATTAATAACATTTAACTAGGCGGCTCTAAAGCTTACTGCGTCTCCGTTAAAAGTGGGCAATATACCTAACGTCACGATATCGAAATCTGTGACTATTTTTGTTTGTATCTATGACTATCACCGGCATTACATGTCGGCATTACAAAAAGAAAAGATGCGTAGGTTGCCAGAGTTCAAGTTTCTTTAAGATGCTGTTCAATGGACCGGATGGGGTGGAGTCACGTGACTTTGTGTAGTCATGTGACTCCCCCCCATCCGGTCAGGAAAAAGAAGGAAAAGACCATGAGAAAATGGGGGACGATTGAAATGTTGAAGTAGCGAATGGCAGCAGCGACCAAACCCAAAACGTTGCCAGACGCTTGATGAAGAATTTATTGGGATCAAGCTTCTCCTCGACCAGATCCATCGCTGCTCCGGCCTTGGGAATCCTGGCTGTGCAACAGTTGTGACATCACAGCCTTCTAGTGGACAAACTTTTGTTTTTGCGCGTACGAGTATTTGTCGTCCTTTTACCGTCATCATGATGAACGGCTCGTAATATTGTGATATTGATTTGAGGCCGTATCGTCGAGCCCTCACCATTACCGACGATGGCACAAGAAATGTAAACGTGTGTCAGCCCAGAGATCCCCGTGAGGCAGACACGAGGTCCAGAGAGGAAACCGGTACGATTCTGATCTGCAGGCCGAAACACAACAGTCGTCTTTCTAACTGATCATCAGCTAATGGTGATATCAAATGACACAAATCCTGCTTCCCTCCATCAATTTCCTTGTTGTTGTAATGAATTTCACATCCCCCCCTTCTCCCCCATCCTTCCTTCCACTCAGCCCACCATAAATCCTCTTCTCCACATTTATTTGTCCTATAATCCATCTCCCCTTCTCTCGCTGTATTTCATGGTAATTGCTTTATAGCTCTATTAGTGGCCGTTGGACGGCTGCCACAGGTCTCTGGCCCTGTTACGGGCCCCTCCCCCCTCCTAGTCGCTCAGGTCAGAGCCCCGTTTTTTCCAATAGAGTTCAACACCATTACCGGGAGGAATGAGGCAAACCCATCCCATTAGGTTTTCATCCTCGTCCGTGCTCTCCCTCTTTGACGCTCATAACATTTATGGATTTATTGCAACATGAGATCGGGGGGGGGGGGGGGGGGGGGGGCGAACTGTTATTTAACTCTGAATTGTGCTCCACTGTTTCAATAAAGGGTTGATTATTAACACCTAGAATTTAGTGAGGTTTATCCTTAGTTTAACCATTAAAAATCAGACAAAGCACAACAGTCAGTGCATAAAAATACGGAGGCAACCTGCACAGAGCTCGCCGCTGAGGTGCAGAACTAAGAGGAAGGCTTCTGGTTGTTGTTGGGAGACGAAAAGACATGCAGGAAGTAGCTGGTTTTTCCTGCTGCACACTTAAACGCAGGATGTATCTGTCAGGTCTTCAGATGAAAGCCCTGGCGTCACGTTTACCGATGAGGAGGAAGAGATGAGCTGCGGCTAAAAGGGTGGCGGGTTCATGTTTTCCTCAGAGAAGCTGCACTTCTTCCATTGCTCTGTTTTAGATTTAGCAGAGAGTAGTGTGAGAAGTTAGCACCAGAGATTCATTCAAACATAAATCACCAGATCAATTTAGAGTCAAAAATGGATGCAGCATTTCCTTTTGACACTCAACGCAGTAGTCAAGCTTTGCTAACGTTTACAGATCTTTGTATGGAGACACAGCAGCTAAGAGGACCCCCTCCCAGAATTTACTCTGAAGTTCTGACAATGGAAACATCTTCAATCAAACTTCCATTTACCAGTTACAGGTGGTCCAATACGCATCAGATTCAGAAAACTTTATTGGTTCCAAGGGGCAATTTACTTATAAAAACCATAAAACCATAAAAACCATAAAAAGCTAGAAACAACACAACATTATACAAACAAACAACAATCAGTCAAACCATCAATCAATCAATCCATCAATGTGTCCCTACCAACATGACATTAAATATAGAGGCCCTATTGATGAGTGGCCCTCACAACGGGCTCATTCACAGGATCCAAGTTTCTTGGTCACACCTCTTTTAAAGTTTAACGGGTCAATAACAGAAGGTATAAAAGAATTAGAAAAACTATTAGTTTTCTGAGAGGGTACATAAAAGCGACACCCTGAGGGCATGAGCTGAAACTCCGAGTGTAGCGTGTGGAGAGGCTGACCCAAAATACATTTAGCCTTCTTTAGCGCCCGCTCCCCCATCCACACTGAGGTGACATGCGCTGCTTATCGTGGCTGCAGGAACTGAAGTAGGGATAGTTGCAACCCACCACCCCTCCTAGTGGACACTTATGTTGTGCTGTCTGAAGTCTGTTGCATATCTGTCTGAGGTGTTTTTTTCAGAGGAAAGCCGCTCTCCCGGTGGAGGGTAACTCTGAAGTGCCTTTTTTTTCCATCCACCTGAACCAATCCTCATGTAACCCTCTTATCTCTATTAAGGTAGCGCGACTCAGGGTTGCGAATGACCACAGTCACCAACTCTTGTCATGTGTCTTGCCCATGTATGTCTGATCTCTGAATTGTGTGCACTGAAACTAATTTCCCTCTGGGATTAATAAAGTATCTTTGATTTGATTTGATTTGAGACTGAAGGTCTCTTTGTGTAACTCCAGTGATTTTACAGCAGATTTTGACAATGTTTTGCAGTTTGTTCTTGTTTTTCACCGACAAACCCTTGTACCAGCAAATGAATGAAAACACTAAAAGACTCTCTATGAAGCAGCAATAAAAGTTGCATAGAGTCCTTTTAATTACATTCAAATAATTGAATTCCCTTAAAAGATGTATTCTCTGCTGGCCACGTTTAAAAATGGAGTCTGTATTCGTGTCGAACCACACCTTGTTGTCAATCCAAGAATCTAGGTATTTGTACTTATTCACCACCTCGACCACATGGCCATGTATTATGCTGCTGCCGTGGAGAGGCACGTCTAAAATCTCTAACCATGTCCTTGGTTTTTGTGACATTTAAATCCAGACAGTTGCTATCACACCATTCCACAAACTCTGACAACGCAGGGCCATGGTTCATTTCCGGCCCTGAAAGGAAGGACACCAAAACAGTGTCATCTGAAAACGTAACCAAGAACCCGTTTTCCTGGTTGACCCGACAACTACCTGTGTACAATACGAACAACAGGGGGAACAAAACACATCCCTGAGGAGATCCCGTATTAGAGACCGATGCTAAGGGCATCTGACCATTCACAAACACTCGCTGGGTTCTCTCCTTAAGGACACTCTAAATCAATAAAAGAAGCTGATTATTGGCTCTTTATTCACACAGATGTGTTTTATTGTGTGGTTGCTGTAAGAGTTTTAAGCTTGTTTTGTTTTCATTTGTTTTTTGCTTTTGACCATTTTATACCACCTTGTGTCTTGTGCAGCACTTTGGGCTATCTGATAGTGAAAAGTGCTTTATAAATAAAACAATGAGTCCAACAGCTCAGCTGCTCCTCCACTGCACAACAATTGGACAGAAGAGGATCCAAATGACCCATTAACATTAGACACAACAGCTTCTGAGAGGAGCCCAATGCACAAAGGCTCTCATCCAAATTCACTCCTGCCCCTCGTGCCATAAAAACATCGGACACAACTGAATCTGCAGCTTAAATGTCGTACAACTGCGGTAATTATAAAACACAAGGCTAACGCTGCACCGCTGTGCTGGGTGGTTCTGAACTCTTCAACTAAACACAACAACACATCTAAAGGGGGAATTCGATTTTCCTCAATATTTAGATGTTCTTCAATCTTGTTTATGAGACTGAAGTTGATCTTCCACTGCGGTAATATAATCCACACAGGAAGTTTACCGGTTGAGAATAAACAATTATGGTGGGTTGTTTACAAATAAAAAAGGTCAGATTGAAAACTGGTTTAAAGATTTTTTAAGCACTTCCTCTCATCAATAATAACAACTGGGTGCTCAGGTCCTTCTAAGAATGTAAAAAGTAACAGAAAAAAATCCCAAAATACATCAGAAAATGATTAAAACTGCAAAAAATATATATTTTCATAAAAACATGTCAGCCTGCTCTCCTTCACTTGGATTTGTTTATAGCAAAAGCAGACATTCATCTTAGTTTTCCCACTAATTGAAATTAAATTAGACCGATTTTTTAAGTACGTTTGCAGCAAATCAAAGTTAATGACCAAATAAAGTCCAAGCTGTTGTTCAAATAAACTATTAACAGAAAAATAAGTTTTTTTTTGTTTTTGTTTGTTTCTGAGCAATAG